CACTTCTCAAGCATAAATCTATAGCCTGCAATTACCCTGTGACCAAAACAAACAGTAAATACTAATACACTGCAATTAGGACACAGAGCCAGGCAGAGAAATGATAGGTGAATACAGAAGCTATCACCACGCAGACTGCAGTAATAATGAAACAGCTCTGTCATCTGACCTGAGAGGACGACTCTACAGCTCCGACACTTTATGACCTTTCCTAGGTGACGTGCCGTCTGATGCCAGTCGACTGCTCATGGCACTTCGTCTGTGAGTGGTTCAGTTTTAAGATGAGGACAGTGGGAATCCTGTGACTGAGACATATGTTTTAGGAAATGTTATAATGACCAGATATCTCAGTATGATGAGAAGTACTGTTTAGTTATTAACAACTGGAACAACTCTCCCGAAGATATATGGTGCTGTGTGGTGGTAAAACGCTACAGAGCAGCATCTCTGCTACAGTTGCACATAAAGGTGTAGCTTACTGCCTAAATTTGACTTTCAGCCAACACGAGTGTTTGTAGTGGTGGACCAAGTATTATAAGAGGTAATAAATGTTGTGTCCGCACTTTGTTTCCACTGCCCTCAAGTGGCCAAAATTAAAAAGAGTCTAATAGTATAATAACCGTTCTCATTCTTCTCCTGAATGTTCCCTGTGATGATGATCATGATGATGATATATTAACACATAAGAAGCAATTTGGTTGTAGATAATATTTGACAGTGCATCATTTACAGTTTATTTTTCCTGTAGAATGTTAAAAGTAGGCCTTTGTATTTCCTGCTGTAATCCAATGTAAAAAGTGAAGGCCTCAGGGGTTTATGATGACAACCAGCTTTCAAGTTAAACCAGAGAAAGTTGTTTTACATATTATTATTTAGCTCTCTTTTATATATATTGTATTATAATGCACATGTTTCTGCAAACTTTATTTTATACACTTATCCACATTTCTATTTTTGGCTGGAGCGACTGCAACAAAACCCAATTTCCTCCTGGGAATTTGGGTTTGTTAGCAGCATTACACAAAAAATACTGCAACAGCACTTTTACTTTCCAGCACTAACCATTGGACAGTAGTTGTGAGGTGCAGAGTTAAAAGTCGGACTAAAGATGAATTAGTGATTCATTCTCGGCCAATACTGCGTTTTGAACAGAAAAACTCCATTGAAAGTCTAAAAACCTTCGAAGCATTCTTTCATGAGCCATACTTGAGATCATAGTAGATGTGTTTGGTTTCTAGAGAGCCTTTCCAAGCACGACTCCAAACCTGAATCATTGATTACTAACCCATCAGCTCCGCTTCCCCCGAGCAGCCGCTCTCTCTGGTCCGGTCCTACTGGAATTCTGCACCAACAGAAGCTACTGTTTTATCTCTTACCACAACAAGTTAGAACATCAATGAACCAGAGCTTAAAGCCTAATACCTCGGTTCCTCAGCATTTTTCCCTCTGATAAACCACACCAGCGTGCCAGAGCCCTGTGTTCCCACACAGAGTCAAGTGGAGAAGGAGCGTGCATGTGTGCAGAGTGCAGGTGTGGGTGGTTTGTTAAGGTAGGGGGGTGTAGCTGGTTTGGGTCACATTGGCTCAGTGTGCTGAATGACTAATGAAAGGTTTATGGTGGCGCAGGGTGGTCTGAACAGTGGGTTGGAGGAGGACATGACCTGCGCGGCTTCCGGCCCCCTCCCGGCCTGTCTCTGGTTAAAACTGAACACTTAACAAGTTCTGCTCGAGCACTGGGGCCACAGTCCTTCACTTGACAAGCTCATTATTTCACATTGTTTTTGTGCTTTGCTCGTCCTCGGCTGCGGTGGCAGACAAAAGGATGTTTGATGTGTGTCTCTGTTAGAGACTTGTACAAGGGACTTTGAGAGGGAAGGATGTTAATGGATCCACTAATGATGTGGCCCCTGCTTATGTGGATCCTTGCAGTAAAGCTGGGACGTCTGCATGAATATTCAAGGGGCTCTGTCGTGCAAAGAGAGGTGGACACTCAAGGTTACTTTAGAGGGCAACAGAGGACAAAGCTCAAGAGTTTATTCTGCTTTTAAATCAGCTTCCATCATCAGAAAAACATAAATGAAATACCTGACAAATGCCTGATCAAAGTAAAACTTATCAGAGGACTTCTTTTGATCTGCACTGCCAACATTTTGTATGAGTTTAATGGAGGACTTTAGAGCTTCAAAATAACAGTATGTGACATTTAACGTCTGCAGATAAAAACAACTCCAGCTTTATTGGTGTACTGTTTCTCCCCATTACTGAATTCCCCTTTGGTGCATTTATCCTTAATCTCTCCGTCACTGCTGCAGAGAATTTTGTTTTTCTTTAATGCAACCAATGTTTATTCAGCCTCTCAACCAACTTCCAAGTTTTATCCTGGAAAAAACATTCAGTTTTAGACTATTAAAGGTACAGTGTGTAGAATTTTGTGATAAGTAGTGTTGAGAGGACCCCCTCGATGTAAATATAAAGTATTTAAATATAAAGGGTTTTTTCTGGGATAATGAAAACTACAATTCATACAATTTAGATGAAATTAACTTGTGAAAACATCATGAGGAATATTCTACATTAAATTTCTGCCAATAGATCCCTTTCACCTAAATCTTACACACTGGACCTATGGATAAATTCCATTCAAAACCTGCATTTCTACTGTAGTTTCTACATTTGTGTGGAAATACCAGGATGAATTCCCTTCATCTCAATGGATGAAACCTCAAGTCTTAACAATTCATCAGTGTTTCACTGTGCAGCAGTAAAAATCAATAGCGTAGTTATGCTGAACAGAATTGACTGAGTGTGAAATTGCAATCAAACAGCAACTATTACCCTCGACCAAAAAGATACTAAAGAGATAAATGATGTTTACAAATCCCAGTGAAATTCAGTTTGTATTGTTATATTACTTGTTTCAGTTATACTCTATCTTGGAAAGATGTTCTCCTCATGAAATTTAATTTTGTCTCGCTGCTTGAGAGAATATTGCCTTTTCAGAGTCAGAATTCAAGACAAGATTCATTAAATCAAATCGCAACATGTCACATTCATTCTCCCAACAACCTTAACAAGTCAGAGCGCTGAGCAGCACAAGTTAGGCACTCAATTCAGTGCCATGGCTTCAATCTAAATAACATTACATTACATTTTAGAATTTTTGCATTTCTTCCTCCTGTTCCTGAAACATGATGTGATATGATATGAATAAAGTTAATATATTCAAGGAACTGGATCTGGCAGTGGTTAGGACCTGATGTTTGACCCAGTTACTGATGATGTAGAAGACGACATGTTCAACTCGGTCCAAAGACTAAAGGCACACTGACTACTGCAGAGTGCTGGGCGCTTGTTTATTTTTATTCATATTGAACCTACCATATGTCCAAATCGCACCCTCCCTCACTAACTTCCTTCGCTTCCGTGGACCATTTACAATACACATGCCAAGTGTGAAAGACGATAAGTTGAACGGTTAGCGAGCTATGAGTTCTACAGACAGAAAGACATTTGTGGAATTAGGAGCTAGATATATTGCTTCATATGTTTCTATCGTGACGTCTGTCGATGGTTCTGCAGCTTGACACCATAAAGGGCTTTTGTTCTGCTTGAAGCTGCGACACAGAATGAGAAAGTGTGACAGTACAGACGTGAACAGCTGTGACAAACTTGTAACCAGACAAAACACCTCTTAGATGCCACCAATTAAACCTTTGGAGATTTCAATTATCACCGTGATGGGGTTTTCAAGATCGATAACACAGTGTGTATGTTGACATGATGGTCAGAGCTGCTGGTGCGACTCACACCTGCCCATCAGTTCAGAACAGGAGACACAGAGAGACCTTACTATTGTTAGCTTTGGATGTGTTTCCCTGGCAGTGGCATCTGTGTGTGCTGTGATAAATATTCATGTGTCTCATATGTGCCAAAGTAAACAGATAGCAAAGATGCACATCCTATACACGAGCCATCATTAGGGTTAGGAGATCAAATAGCTCAGTGGCGCCCAAACAAGATTAGAAAATGTCACACGCCACCTCCTTAGCCCAGCCTTCGTCTTATTTCCCGTTCCTCCTCCTCCCACTCTTCCTCCAGTGTCTCGTTCAGAAGAATGAAGACAAGATTCAACACACAGAGCCAGACAGCAACACAGGGTCTCCAGCGCATACTAATCTAAAACAACACAGCATCTGGGCAACACATTTGATTCCCTCCCCACTGAGGCGTGTTAAGTGTTGAGATAGGGCTCTACAGATCTCATCACTTAGGGAAGGTTGTGGCCTGCATCAGCCGCCCTCCCTCCACCGCCCTGCATGCAGGTTCCTATCACTTCCACCCTCAGATTGGAAGTGACATGCCACTCAGGCAGTGGTGTCTTTGCTCCCCCCCATCAGCAGCCATGCAGCCCCATTCAGAGCTGTCAGCCTGATTACATATCAGCTGAATAGGGCGGGGGGAGAAGGAAAGGAGATGTCCAGCTGGAGACGGACCACTAAACATGTTGTCTGTCCTCCTACCGCACATCTGCCCATTCTTACAGCACCTGTCTACGAGGCTGCCACAAAACCAATCTGTGTCTCCATCACTCTGCTGCTGCTGCTCTGGAAACTAAGCAACCTCCTCAGCCGTCTTTCTTCTACATGCTGCATCTTTCCGTCTATCCGTCTGTCTTTCTCTTCATCTGTCTGTCTTCTACATGCTGCGTCTTTCTTCTGGTCTGCATCTGACTTTCTATCTGTATTTCTCTCTCTCTGTTCATAATTTTTGTAGCTCATTACATTCAGGTACACAGAGCCACCTGTGTTCTGTCTGTGGACTAGTAAAGCATCAGGGGTTTGCCGGTGAATCAAAAGTTGACATGCTAAGTGAAAGGAAGTGTTCCATTACTGGAGCCTGTGATGCATCCGAGACGCCTTACTCTCCTCCACAAGGACACAAATACATGTTGTTTACTTAAGTGCTGATTTTCTCCTCTCTTTTCTGTTGTCTCTCCCCAGGCATGATGCTTGGAAGCACTCCACGGCAGTCCAGAGAGGTACGTGTTTACTCTGTTTTATTCCCAAACACTGATACACGCAGGTCGCTCCTGCTCCTGTTATCTATTGCAGAAAGAAGTGATTGTCAGCAGTGTACCTCTCAGCATGTCTGATAGCATCTGTGTAGAGAGGCTGACCTCACGCAGTGAATTCAGTCAGACTTCAGTGAGTAAACGCTCTCTGTTGAACCAGGCCTTGGTTCCCCGGGGTGTCATCACACTTAGAGATGTTTTTCTTTAACCTTCCACTGTAGAAGGTTTTCTGCCATTCTTTTGGTGAATTTGATTCATTATTAATTCCTACCTTGTTATAAGTGGCCTGCATTTATGAACAAAAGCCACTCGGCTACTGGATAACAGCTAACTGTGATTATCAGTTCCTCAAAATAAATCTGAATAAACTGTTCTGTTATAGCTACACTGTTTTAATAAACAATCACAGGAGGTAAAATGTGTCCTAAATTTCTATGTATCATTATAAAGTCGTCCACTGGAGATTTGAATTAGGCCTTGACGTTAAAACAACCTATAAACTAGGTTTCTATGTCAGACAGGCAGCACTTTTATGCCAGTATCTTCTCTCATCTGACCCCTGCCTGCTCCCATGTCTGCCACAATCATCAGCACCAATCAGACGCTCACATCAGTGCGAGCCCTGAAGAACACAGTGTTTGATGCACAGTTCACTGTCCCGTGCTTGCCTGGCCAATTAAACACACTGGGCTGAACAACTCCCTCCGTTTTTCCCTCCAGATGTCCCTGCAGATCAAAGAATATGGCCATTTAAGTCAGGAGGGGGGTGAGCCAAGATTCATGATGGTCTCATCACCTTGTCTGTTGTAAAATTAAAATTATACATCCAGTCCATTGGCTTTATGATGCCATTACATTATTTAATTGAAATAAAATGTCAGAATGCACAATGGCCTTGGGCGTCATCTGACAATTATTAGACAGTGGATGATTCCAATTTAGATTCCCCATTAAGTGTTTATAAGACATTTATATGATATCACAGCTCAGTGTATTGATAGGTCATGAATGGCATTGGGCAGTTTGTGACATTTGAGTGGAACGAAGTCAGGCTTATACTGAAGGTGTAGTGAAATAGCACCATCATGTGGTCTGTTTGAGTACTGAAGAGAACATGCACGTTCATCACCTTTGTTAGGTCAAAAGTATACATTTGATGTTCTTGCACATACTGTGAGTCCACATTAACGTATGAAAATAATTTAGTAGTTTGTTTTTATCTCAGCTACTGTCTCTTGTCGTATTGTTTTTAATAAATATTGATACCTATTTATTTTTTATATATATATCATTAGTATAGTCATGTTGTTTACCATGCCTGCATATATACTCAAAACATTCTATAAATATGTATATATATGGCTATGTTCATTTCAAAATCTCAGTTTACATCAGTTTACATGCAATAATTTGGTTCCACTGCACTTCACCCCAGACAAACAATATTTCTGTCTGTATTGAAAGGGGTATATTGTGTTCATATCCTCTGTATTTTAATGTATTGTATTTTTATTTGCCTACTTATTATATTTTATATTTTCATGTATTCTTACCTCATCTCATCTTATCTTAACTTAACTTTTCTTGTTTCTTCTCATCTTATCTTATAGACTCTTTCTACTCAGGACAGAGAGGGAAGTAAATCTGACAACCATCAAGCAACAGAAGGCATCTTGTCCAGCCTGGTTCCTCCAATGCAGTTCCCACACTTTGAGAGTAGCCAACAGACAGCCACCCCTGGGTCTCGAGAACGGGACATAGACCCCCATCACGTCTCCAAAAGACAGCGCAAGCTGCTGAAAACAAGTCCCCAGATTAGTCACATCTCCAATAATGTGTCCTCGTCCTTCACTTCTTCCTACTCAGGCTCTTTTTGCCCTGAGAGCTGGATAAAGCTCATCAAACACTTGGAGGCCCGCAAGAAACTGATGAAGGAAATATGTGCTAAGTACAAAAGCAGCATCTCCAGGACCATCACACGCCATCATGTGAAATACCTCTTTGTGGTGGACAAGTACAAGTTGTTGTACTGCCAGGTGCCCAAGGCGGGCTGTTCCAACTGGAAGAGGACACTGATGGTGCTTGCAGGCCAGGCCTACAACACTCAGAGTATTAAACATGATACAGTCCACTATGACCACCACCTCAAGAAGCTCGACAGCTTTGACCAAAAGGGTATAATGCACCGACTGAAAACCTATACCAAAGTCATGTTTGTCCGAGAACCCTTGGAGAGGATGGTGTCGGCTTATAGGGACAAGTTTGAAAATCCAAACAACTACTACCACTCACTGTTTGGGAAACCCATAATCTCCAAGTACAGGGCCAATGCGTCCTTGGAAGCACTAAGGACGGGCAATGGGGTCACATTCAAGGAGTTTGTCCAGTACCTGCTGGACGTCCACAGGCCCGTGGGAATGGACATCCACTGGGAGCAGGCGAACCAGCTCTGCAACCCTTGTCTCATAGACTACGACTTCATTGGAAAGTTTGAGACCATGGATGAGGAGTCCAACTTTTTCCTGCGATTGATCGGGGCACCACAAAACCTCACGCTGCCTAGTTTTAAAGACAGGAACCCAACCGACAAGAGGACCTCTACGCAGGTCACACAAAATTACTTCTCACAGGTCAGTATGATGGAGAGACAGCGAGTTTATGATTTCTATTACATGGACTACTTGATGTTTAACTACTCCAAGCCTTTTAAAGATTTATATTGACTGACTTCTTATCAAGACTCTTGAATCACAGTTACATTCCACCGTCTACATCTCTACCATCTAGCTCTACATGGAGGAATCTCTGTCCATCTTTCAATTTTCTCCACATCTGCTCGTCCAATCAACTTTAAACTTTGCGGGTGTGTTCCTCAGGATCTAAGGAAGGGAAGTGTGTGCCATGAAGAGTTTTTTGGATGAGTGGTTTTTGAGAAAATTGACAAAGATTCCTCCTTTATTTTCTCTTTTAAATCAAGTCACAACCCTTTGATGATGTCAGGGATGACATCGCCAACGGTCACGTTTCAGCTTGACAGGCAGCGCACAATGATGGTAATGAAGTTCAATGACACAATGACATGGAGCTTTGCACCTGAGCAGAGGGATTAGAAAAAACAAACCATGTAAAATCTGCTTTTTATCCTCGTTTAAAAAAATGATGAGACAAAAGTTATGTTAATGTGACTTATTAAACACAAAATTGTGCTGAAATACAAGGTATTTATTCACTACGTGTGATGAGATATACTTTGAAATTATAAATGTTATGTTTCTAAAAAAAAGTTTCTTGTTGTTTTGCAGGCTGTAAATTATGCCTCTCTGTGAGTCAAATAAAAATTGCAAATTAAATTACATTTGATTTGATTTGTATAGCACAACATCACAACATACATTATCTCAAGGCATTTCACATAGCAAGGTTGAAACCTTACGAAGTTACATAAATGTGTTTTATGGTTTAATTCAACATGGTGCCAGACATTTACCGATCACATTCCTTAATTTATACATGATTCATTATATATTATATTATGCGAGCCCCTATACCATTAGAGGAACCACACCCATACATTTTGCTTTCTTTAGTTTTTGATTGACCTCAGATGAGGCTCATGTATTCATGGGCACCCCAATCACCCTCAACCACCAGGTACATGCAAGCGGTTTTTCTTTTATTTTGAAATATTTGCACTTACAATTTGACTTACAGTAAGTTGGCCATCAGTATACCTCTATGTATCGATACCTAATAATACAGATAATTCTTGTAAATGGTTTTACTAAAGGTAAAGTGTAACAGAAATGAAATGAGTATAAATCTTGAAGATGTGTACAGTGCTGCCCACTGGGAAGCTTTGTGCACTTATTGTAGCATTTTTGTACTTCTAACTTTGTCAGTTAGGTTTGTGCTTTAGTCTAACACATTCACTGCTGTAAGACCTCCCCATCATTACTAGTATTTACGTGGGTTGTCATATGCAGGACAACCAGGTACTCGCAGGGTACAACGTGTTGCTGCCAATCATCTGTTAATATCTGTTAGTAGTACAAAACAATTACTTTCTGTTGACAGCATTGGCAACCAAAAAAGAAAGAATGCAAAAATAGGGGTTTATATTTGGTGTGAAATATAAACCAGTGAAATAATAATAATAATAGAGTGGCCAAACTTCTCCATGGTTCATACCACACAATCTCTGAACAGCTCTGACTTACAGATCTCACTCATTCCCTCTGTACGTATCACATCTCTTCTACTCCACTATAAAGGCTTTTTTCTGACACTACAGTGTACAATTGTATAATGGGCATTCAGATGACTGTATATTTTTCTATGTATTTC